CACCACCAGAAGAATTTTACGGATGGCAACCAGCTGAAGATCAGCAATCTCAAGCCTCTGGAGTAAGAGTGTACTTAATAGTTGCGGCTGCTATACTAAGTGTTGTTTTGTTTGTTGTTCTTGGCTGGGCCGTTTCTTATAAACGGGGAAGGTCGAAAGAAGAAAGGTTGGAGAGACAACATGGAGCATCTCCAACAAATCAAAGAGGTAAGAATAAACGTGAGTTTTGCATAATTAATACAATGTTTCTTCTTCTTGGGGAACTATTCAAGGATCTGAATTCATATAATTAATTTGGTTTGATAGCTAGCTGCTACTGCTAGCTGTACAAGTAACTTGACAAACTTATTTCATGTGTATGTATGATACTAGTACCTATTATAGACTCTTTGATTTTGAGTCTTATGGAGTCTTTCTGTCCAATCTTGCATTGCGTTCACCTGCGCCAGGAAATTATAAACATAAATCGACTTAGCCGAGAAAGGAGATGTCGAAGTTTTAGTGGTTTGTGGTACCAGCTTACCACCACTGTATTCTTAGCTTTTTCTCCCAGTAGCCTAAACAAGTTGTTCAAATAAGAACATCCACGTCCAGACTGACAGACTATTTATACAAATAAGAAGATTCATTAAACTATGAATTTGATGTGTCATCCCCCCATGCCCATGTTGTAAAGTTACTCGTAGGGAGAATAAATCATGTTGCAAAATGATCATCTCTTAACCACCCCTGGATGGCTAAAAGAGTAAAAAAGAATGTAAGTTGATCTCTCAAATTAGAGTTTCCTTCATAGTAAAAGAGCAAAAAAAAAAAGATTTAATATGGTCATCCAAGTTTGAATCTCTACGTTTGATAGTGGTTACTAGAACTTTTATCTGGTAGATAATTCCAATAGTTCTAAGGTCCCTGTTACTTTGTCGATAGTTTTAGGGTCTTAGGAATTAGTTTTACATTCTTTTGAAAGGGAATGGGGTGAAGGATAGGGAGCAAAGGGGAGAAAAAGGAAAGAAATTTTCTTTTTTATGTTTATAACGTGAATGGGGCGAGAACTGAAATCCTTTAAAATTCTGTATGTGAGGGTTGTTTGTTGAACTTAACCAACAATAATAAAATTTGGTTTGGTAACTACACAAATACTTATAACATGCCTGAGTCTGTCTATCAATCAATCTTGATGCATACTATTTATTAATATGTAGTCTCTATAATCTCTTCATGTGACCATGCTGATTCTCAGTAATATCTGAATTTTGCAGGATGCATATCGCTATTGTTATTGCTATTATTCTCTGACAAAAGGAAAAATAAATAACAATGCCCAAAATTTGGTTCTGCAGGCGACAGCGGAGAGGATAGTACTTCAGGGTCCGAAATATTTCAGGAATTTAATCAGTGATTATATACGCCGATAGCAGTTACAACCAACATGTCGTGCCTGATTAAGTCTGGAACGGGAAACCAGCTTCATCGGAAAATTAAATTATAGTATTTATTAATCCAATTATATTTAACTAGTTGGTTTTTTTAAGTATTGGGTTTATATAAGTTTTATTTTATGTGATTTTGAATTTTAAACAGAATAAGGTGAGGTTTGTTAATTTGTATGACATCTAAATATATATGATGACTGAATAATATAGACTGAATAAGGTTTCTAATGTTTTCAATAAACCTTGGAGATTAGTTAAAGTGCATGCAAACTAGTTCGAATACTCTAGTTATCAAAAAACAAAAAAAAAAAAAAAATAAATATTGAGTGAATAGATTATATGTTGGTTTGTAATTTTTAAATATGTAAAATATTAAGTGAGTGTTAAGTGACATATATATATATATATATATATAAAGCTGATAAAATATAAGAAAAATATTTTTATTTTGTAAAAAAAAGTTAGCTTTTTGAGGTTAAGAAATTATTTTCAAATAAATAAATAAAAAATTCTGAAACTTTAATCATATGTGGTTGCTATGACGAAAGTGAATATTTAAGAGAACATTGACATTCATCCATTGTTTTAAAACCGGACTGGAGGACAACCCGTTCTGCTACCCAAGTCACGGGTCGATCGGTCCAACCGATTGGACTGATGATATCATCATGATGATGTCGGTACTTCCAAAAAAATCCAAAATTTTCATTTTAGAACAAGTTTCAAATTTTCAATAACAACTTAATTATAGCACCAACATAATTCAAATTTAATAACAATCCAAACATGATTTAACAAAAATCCCAACATACAATATAATATGTTATAGCTTTACAAAAAATTTATAATTGACAAAAACTTTTGTAAATTACAACATGCTTGAAATACGGAAACAGAATGCTATTCCAAAATGCACCTTAACTTTTAATTTAAGCATTATATCTCTTTATTCTCAAGTTTGGGCAAATCTGGGTTATTCAACCAGAGGGAGAAAACATAAAAAATCTGACTACCTTCAAATTGTCTTCCAAATTCGAGTAAAATAATTCTGTAACTTCCAATCAAATAATCAAAGCAAAACTTTCAAATCTAGAGGATTCTGCCAAAAAAATGAAAAAATCAACTTCCAATCTAATAAACCAAGCATTATAGTCAAAACAAAAATTCCAATCAAATAATCAAAACAATATTTCCGAATCCAAAAAAAGAGAATCAAATAAACCATATGTACCTTCAATTGTCATCGTCGTTGATTTCCAGCGGGGGAGAGAGGTGTCGTCGTCATCAAGGAGCAAGGAGGGAGGCATCGTCATCGTCATCGTCATCGAGCAACGAGGGAGGCATCATAGTCGTTATCGAGCAAGGAGAGAGGCGTTGTCATCGTCGTCGTCGAGCAAGGAGTGAGGCGTTGTCATCAATTTCCAACGAGTGAGGGAGGTGTCATCGATTTTAGAGTGTGGAGTTGCGATTGAGACAATGGTTGCGAGTTCAGAGAGTAGAGTTGATTGAGATTGAGGGGTGATTTCAAAGAGTGGCTGCATAGAGAAACTGAAAAATGAATAGATTTAGGGCTTTTTTTACTTGTGAAATAGTGAACCGGTTTATCAGGCCGACTGATTGGACCGGCGTTTTAAACTGTTCATCCGGTCTAATGGCGAGTTAAAGTGGTTTTTTAAATATAAACAGGTTTTACATTAACTCGGACCGGACACACAACCGAGTCCCGGTCAAACCGATTGGACTGGTCGGTCCGGTCCGGGTTTTAAAACAGAGCATTCATCATAGGATAAAGTAAGAAAAAAAAAATTAATAAGAACTTATTAAAACTATATAACCTACAATATTTCCATAGAGTAATATTATACTTACAAGCTCTTCTCACAAATTTTCTCTCACAATCCCAACGTGACAACTCGTCATTAGTTAACCCACAAATGGGTCCTACTTGCCCATTTGCAAGCTAACCAATGACTAGATGCCAAGTTGAGATTATGAGAGAAAGTTTATGAAAAACTGCTGTGGGCATAACATTTTCCTATTTCCATAACACTTTCCAGGAATAGAGTGAGTGGTGAGGTTGTTGAAACTGGAACCAATCAAGGAAAGTATTTGAACCCACTCCACTGTATTCACTACTGTCCACTTCATAACTTTCTTGCACCACCTCCCTAAATTTCATGTCTTGCACTGAGCCTTCGTATTCTGCAACTTTTTCTGAAGATAATCATCTCTATTAAATTTATACATAGCTACTCAATGGAACTAATCCAGTTTTAAACATTCTGTTCATATACTACCCTCATATTAAACATATACAAATAAATACTGCATTCGACAACTTTCAACAATCAAAATAATACTAGTAATCATCTACTTAAAAAATGCCTTTTGCCCATTCTCCAACTATTCATTTCAGAGCGCAAAATGCCGCAGCTGCCTGCATCAATTGGGTTTTGCGGATCAAGAAACAACGAATTTTCCCTATAAAATCGTGTTCAATTTCAGCTGAGTTGTTCTGAGTATAAAAACTTTGATATCTGTAAACAAAATGTGTTCATCTTGTCCAAACTGATATTTTCTTCCTTTTCCAGAATTTTTTAGGCACTACACCATTCAATGGAAGACTTGTCTCAATTTTGTTATTGGGTCAGACTTTCTCATATGTGGGATGTAAATGTCGCAAAAATGCAAAATGGAAGGAGGGGAACCAGTAAAAATGAGATTTACCAAGATAATGATAATCGACGTCAAGAGCTTTGACTAGCAAATTTGGTGTCTTTCTCGGCTTCCTGTGGTTCCGTCTCTTGGGTAGTTTGCTGGCCATCAGTACTTGAACTAGATTGGTTCAGACTGTCATTGCTCGTCTGCCCACTGAATTCACTACTGCCCAGGTCTAATATTTCTAGTGCCGCCTTCCTGAATTTCTTCATGTCTTCCCTGTATTTAATTGAGTTATATTCTGAGCTTCCATATGAACCATATACAGAGCTGTGTCCTGGTGTGGTTCTGTCATTCAGATCTTCCAAATGCATATTTCCTCCCAATGCTCGAACTATCTGCTCATATGGGAATCGCAAATGGGTCACAGGACAGCATAGGGTTCAATCTTCCGATTCAATTCCAAAATCAGTTTTGGTTTTAATGAAAGTCAATTTGTCAAACTACTGGTGATTGGAATTGTGATGTTTTGAGTAAAGTTGAACAAAAGACCTAAAACAGAGAAGAAAACGAGAGAAAAAGGAAATGGAGCTGAATATACTTCTTTTACTGATACTGTTTCAGTTAATACAAAATAGCTACTGTACACTTTTTATAGTGCAACGATGCTCTAACTAATACTGTTACATTTTAACTGAAAGTGAAACAGAATAGTAACAAACATTATTTAACAACTAACAGTATTCCAAATGACATTTTTACCCTTTTACTAACATCTTCCCTCAAACTAAACTTGGGAAGATCAATGTTGCTTCTTTACTAACATCTTCCCTTAAACTGAGCCTGAGAATCTTGAATCAGTTCTGCCCAAAAGTTCAGCTTAAGTAGTCAATTTTATGCAGGCANATGTGGGACTGAGAAATGCTCGGCGTCTATGTACTTGACAGCTTTCAAGGATTCAACCATCCAGCCTGGTAATGGAGAGTGGTCGTCTTCAATGTTGGGTGGGATTAGGACACCCCAAGATGTGTTGGGAAACACATATGGACCTTCTTCAAAACTTGGATTTTTCACCAAGTTTTCTGCACAAATAAAATGGTAAAAATTAATTTCACCATAATTCTTCACTGAATCCACATGCAAAGTTTTTAATGGGTCTCCAGTACTATGTCATTTGAGGAACATACTGACAAACAATCTGATCTTGGTCGCTATCATTTATAGCTGTTTAGCCCCACACCAAATAATATTACGACCAATTACCGACTCTTTCCCAGAAAAAAATTGCTACAGGTAATCAATACAAAAGTTGCGAGCCAAAAAAATTGCAGTTTTAATTGTAAAAATCATCATGGCACATAACATGAATGCGACCTTACTACCTAACTCCTCAGAAGTAATTGATCAAGCAAACAAAAAACAAAAAAACAAAAAAAAAAAAAAAAAAAAAAATCAAATACAAATCAAGGTCAAGCAACTCAGCTCTTCCCATTAAGCAGGAGATAGTAGCAATGCTTCCATAGCACCACTCTATTATTCTCAAGTACTTCTAATTTTAGCCGAAGTAAACAAACAAATTGCTGAAACAAACCAAATAAACACCAAAAGCAAAAACGAATTAAATATTTCAAACCTCAGCAGCTTCTAAACCAGCACCTAAAATTGAACTCAACAAACCAGAAACCTATAATTAAAACAGCATTTAGTAAATAATAAAATCATAAAGTTATTAATGAGCATTAAATGATCCTTCGTTCAATTATACAACAACAGTCAGCATTATAAGTTCTTACATAAACAACTAGAATTTGTATAAGGTAAAATTACTTTTGGGCCCCTGTTGAGGAAGATTTTGAGCTGCAAGCTTCCGCTTTCTCCTTCTGTAGAAAAGGACGAAAATGCCCACAGCAGCTAAAACAATTGCACCGCCTATCACCACCCCTACCACAAGCCCCGCGATCGCCCCCGGAGGCAGGCCATTAGGAGCCGGCAGCGGGACGGGAATCGCCGGATTCGATCCATTAGTTGGAGTACTCGCCGCCGGAGTCGTAGAGTTGGTCGGCGGAGACGCTGAACCGGTACTGTTAGTGGGAGGTGGCGGAGGTGGTGACGCGGCAGGCGAAGGGGACGGCGGCGACGAAGACATCGCCGGACAAAATCACCTGTAAATTCTTTTTGTTGATAAACACGAGGTTTTTGTCCTATTGTCTAATGATTGAGTGTTTTAGACTTTAGTGTCCATGTTGAAACGAGGAAGAAGCTGGTGGGACCCCAGTTTGCCCGTAAAGCGGGGCGTTTTGTTGAATATTCTAGCTCAACGAGAGAATACGCTGTCGTTTTAATTGATTCTTCTGTCTTTGTCCAGAAAGGATTTGGAAAATTATTTTTTTTATATTTAATTATATCGAGGTGAGGCAGTATGCAGTTCATAAAATACAATAATTCTACGTATATTCTGTATATATACACTGGATACGATGAATATATAATTATCATGTATATATATCTTTTCCATAATAAATATATTTTATAATATCTACTACTATAATTATTGATATAATAGAGAGAATATAAACACAATGTTATTGGATCAACTAGGAAGGATCATCACCGAATAAGATTATGTTAATTACTGGTTTTTATAATTTTTCTTTCTAAGCTTAATTAATATTTAAAAATACATTGTTAAAAAAATTAATTAAACATTGATATAAATAATTAAATTGAGACGCTTACCGTTTGGTCCTTGTAGAGGAGCTTCAGTTCCATAATCCGTACTCGAGCTCTTTGTCTTGGAAGCTTCTTCTTCTTGTTGTTAGTGTTCTTCTTCTTCTTCTAAGGAGAATGCTTAAAGCAACAATCAAACCAAGTGCTGCAACGGCAACCACGATTATTCCAACCAACATTGTTGCAGGCATGGTACCTGGAGTATGGTATTTTGATGATATTTCTCCCGGCAGAGGAGTAATTTCTATCAGAGGTGATTCTGACGGTGGAGCATATGGCGATGGTGGTGTATCATCGGATGGCAGTGGAGATCATGGAGATCGAGATGCCGAAGGATAATATGACATTGAGATAAAGAGTGATATTCAATATAATTTTTGGGCTACCCGGTGAGTTTTGAAAGTATTTTTGATATGATATTACAAGAAAAGGAGCAGAAAATAAGAATAAATAAATAAATGATGAAAGCTAGCTGAACAGAATACTCCAGGGTCAGTTTGTTTAAGTCAAGTCTATGCATTCAATAACTCAGCAAAACTAATTAATTTTCTGTACTGGTTTTCTCTTGATAGAGAAAGTAACAAGTACTGAAAAGAATAGGACTGGTTCAAAAGGTTGGAGCGTTGAGGAAGATGAAAGCCAGCTAAAATTATTCAAGACGAGACTCCCAAGTCAATACAAATTTGCAATATTCACATCAACCCAGACTTAAAGCCAATTTAATTACTTTAATTATAAGAAATAATTGAAAGAAATTTAAGCTAGATTGATGGAATTCAGAGATCAAAGAATTCAGAAGCCTGCAAGTTTTCAGTCAAACGTACGCAAACATATATTCATCTAAACTTGCGTTATTTAGTTAATTGTTATTTAAAATATTCTTAAATAATAATTAAGTTAATTACTTCTGATGATGAAGTAGTTCGATAAAAAATTTTGAGTGTATTACTTAAGAGGTCTAAAGTTCAACTTCCTTTTCGATTGCTAATAGGAATAGTCATTGAAATTTTTATCTGGTTGATAATTTCAGTCCTAAGAGATTAGTTGAAGTGTATATAATCTTTACACAGTTTTTAGTCCTAAAATTTGGAAAATGACTTAGGGCTTTTCTCCAACAATTGGTCATTCATCAACTCCCAGTTGCCACCTCAACTATGGCAACCACCATTCTTACGAGCAACCCCGAAGAGAATGTTTGTTGCTTTGCTTTGTCCAAGAATGATTCTTAAGGGTAATTCAGGAACCTGAGGTTGATGTTTATTGATATTCATTTGACCATTCTCAACTTTTATGGGCAAATACAGACAACTGGCAACTTTCATGCCAGCACCACCTGCAGCAATATTTCTTGCCTTTCATCCTCAAGATAACAATATTATTGCTATTGGCATGGATGATTCATCAATTCAGATACATAATGTCCGCAGATGAGGTACATATGATGCGGATATGCTATTTGTTGGACATTATCTGTGTTCACTTGGAAAGCAGTAGGTGTGATTCATCAATTCAGCTATTTGTTGGATACGCGGATACCCCTATTCCTCAAACCTCCCACATCCTAATCACCAATTACTTGTCTATCATCATCATGGATGTTATGCTTGAAAAAATAGGGTTGACACGGAGTTTTATCAGTATGGGATGGTTAGAACTTGGGAAAGTTCTGCGACCGTTCACGCGCACCCACGTCGCATGATGACGTAAGTGGCATGCTCCTGTCAGTGCAGTGGGTGAGCGTCAAGCTAGCGTATTGTTGGATATTGTACGCATGTCTAATCCCTGCATAAATTGAGGAAATCACTCGGACAGGTGAACAATTGGACGCAGAGAAGGATTTGCACGGTATCCACCCACTTGCAGAATTAGTAATAATGACATTGGTTTATCCCACTATAAATAGTGGACTTCTCTTTCATTTACGGGATTAACTAATTTCACTCTAGAATAACTTACTTTCTCTCTCTCTCTCTTTGTCTTGTATTCTCTAAGATATAACTCAGCTCACTTTACACGACCTGACCTTACTCATTAATACAATATCAGTGGACGTAAGATTCACTTTTGAGCATCCGAACCACTTTAAACTTTGACTCACCCTTTACTAAATTCAATACCCTCATATCACGTGTGACTTCTAATTTTTTTTAGTATTTCTCAAGTGCGAATAGTTGGTGTTAAAGTCAAGCATCAACAATTCAAAATTGATAATCCAGCTTGGCGAGGACCTCGAGTCCCAGTTCAACCAATCAGGCCGAACCGGGTTTTAAAACCTTTGTCCTGAAACTGGAAGATTTTCCAAGTGTTTTGAAAAAGGCCTGTGTAGAAAGCTATGATGATTTTTAGTCTGTACACCGCTAACTCCAAATGAATGTTATAGCCACACTTCACAGCCAGAACCCCGATTTGCAATTTGCAGCAAAATTCAGAAGAAATGAATTATAATATTGAACTATTACTAACCGTGCAAAAATTCTAAACTAAATTAACTATTGCTTAGCCCTGGAAAAAGGCACAGACAATGGCCTTATTATTTGTTGTTGACCAAACATGAGATGAAAACCCTCTATATCTACAGCTTGTTATAATACTGTTTATCTATGTTTTAAACTATTTTTTAAGATGGCTTGTATGGGAGTTGCGTGTCAGGTGTTACACCTGGAGAATACTCCTTTTTTTCCACCCAAAACAAACATTTGATGTCCATGTCAACTACCGTGACGGGGTAGTTTATATTTTATTTATAAATTCATTATTTCTTGGGGGGATTTTTGTTATTTGATTAAACCTCAGGGGTGAACTTAGATTAAATTTTCTAAAGATCCCACCAACTGTCTGTCCAACTAAGATGGAGTTGGTGACACTAAAACTAATTATTGTGCCATTTTTCTATTGGCATATGCTGAGTTGGAAAGACACCAAATCAGATTTTCTATATCATTAAGCCAGAATTGAAGAACATAAGTAAAAAATCAATAACAGGAAGATTTGGAGAAACACTAGATCACTGCCGTCTTATTAAAATATTAAGAAGAAATATAACTACAGAGTACAGAACAGGCAAACCAATTGGCCGCATAATATAAGTTCATTAATAAAATTGTAAAATGTAAGACAACATAGATGAGTTGTTTGGTTGGTTCCACTTTGGACCATTTTAAATTGAGTGGAATCTTTATACTTCAAGTAGTCATTTAATACGTACCTCCCAAGGGTCAGGAATTACCATTCTAAACCTTTGCAAGGGATTCTACCTATAAACGCAAAATATTGTTCAACATGGATATCGGGCACAATATAAATTTTTTCTCTAGGAGTACAATTGAGACAAGGGGCAAAATGGTCTTTATAACAATCAATAATTCGCTTCATTTCTAATTAAGCCTTGCTCTAGCTATACCATCAAACTGTGAAAATAAATTTTAGCTTAATCGTTATAGTAAAGATCTTCATCCATGCTTTCCGTAATGCCAAATTACTCATTTTACCCACATATTAATAAAACAATACTATCTTTGTGTAACCAGAGCGAGTATTTTTTAAAAAGAATCAAATCGTTGTGCAAGAGTTTACGATAAGCTCGAAGTTAGTGACAGCTCGGAGAAAGTGAAGCTTAAAGCAATAAGCAAAGCTCAGTAGAGGAAGTTGACCGATAATTGTTTTAGAGGAAGTTGACCGATAATTGTTTCACAGATTATCGATAAACCTTATCTCTTAATATTAAGGACATGATTTCAAAACCTTATAGTTCAATCCTAGATTTAGCACAATCATGGGATTAACTTCCCATGATTAAATGTGATCCCTAAAAGAACTCACTTACCATTATCAAATTCTTTTATAAATAACTCAATTTATAATCTTCGTCATCACCATCAACAGTGAATTCATCGCTTGAATCGTTTGTATCGGAAGCTGAGAGAATTTCTTCTTCTTCGTGTTCCATGAATAATGAATTGTTAATTGATTACTGGAGAAGGAGCTCGTCCGCTCTTTAAAATCGCCAATTTGGCGGTAAAATGAAGGAAACCAAAAAAAAAAAAAAAAAAAAAAAGTGACGTTGTGATGATTTGGGGGGTGTTTGGTAGCGAGAGGGTAGTGTTCTGTAGCTGGATTAGGATATTCATGGACTTATTAGTTGTTCAAGGAATTTGTACTTAAGATATTTTTTTTTTCCTTTTCCTTGGTTATTTTATTATAAGAGAATGAAATATAGTCGTGGATTATCAAAACATCGTTACAACACTATTTTTTTTTATTGGTAGTCGGGCGTTCAGGCCGACTAATTATTGAGATCTATTAAAACACTTTATAAACTCAATTAAAATGTTCGGACCAATTAATTATTGGGATCCATTAAACATCCTACAAGTTCAATGAGTCAGGTAAGTTACAGATATAATATGTGATCATTTTATGTGACTCGAACACAAAACATCTGGATAACCTAGAGTCTTGCCATCCGACCACAAGCCAAGTGGTTTACACTTTACACCACCATTATTAAGACAATACAATTGGAATTTCATACTAAAGAGGGTAACACCCACCCTCGGGTAGCTCCGGTGGTAAGACAAGCGTTATAATGTCTTATTAAGGCGTACAGTCTTAGGTCTGAATCCCTGACTCTCAAGATTTTAGTCGAGGTACGCACAAACCAGTCTGGACTCCTATTTCAAAAAAAATAAAAAATAAAAAAGTAGGTTCACCATTGCATTGTGTGTACATTTTCAAAGCATTTGCAGATTGTATGGAGGATAGGGTAGGAAGAAGGTGGAGGAAGAAGACTAGAAGATGGGTTAGTCAATGAATAATTAACAATGACTATTGACCTTGGTTGGGACAACAAACCACTAACTAATTTATTCATATTTCAACTTAATTAACAATGACTATTGACCTTGGTTGGGACAACAAACCAACTTATTATGCCTGAAAAGTTAGGGCTGACGTGAACTCTCATCAGCAAAAGCCAATCAGAGTTCATAAATATTTTGTATCGTCCAGACGCTGTCATGTCGCACAGTGACGCAAGAGGTATGGTTCCTGTCAGTGCAGTAGGTGAGTGTCGGGCTTGCGAGCGGTTGAGGATTATCCACCTGTCTAAACCCTATGCAATTTGAGGATATTTCTTGTGCAGATAACCAATGGGATGCAAAGAAGGATTTGCACTACACCTACCCACTTGCAGACTTATAATAATTACCTTGAAATCTCCCACTATAAATAAAGGACATCCCTTTTATCTATAAGATTGACTAATCTTAGTCTAAAATAGCTTACACATTCTCTCTCTCTTTGTATTATCTTTATATTATAACTCAACTCGCTGCACACGACCTGATTTTACTCATCTATTAATACAATAGTAATGGACGTAAGATTCACTTTTAAGCATCCGAACTACTTTAAATATCGTTTCTCATGCATTATTTCATTTCATGTTTTCTTATCATATGTGATTTTTAAGTCTGCTTAACACTTTACACGTGCAAGTCGTTGATGTTAAAATCAAGTATCAACACAACTAATGAAGTTGCATATGCAGAATTATAATCTAATAATGGCATGATGCTAACCATCGATGTCACCAAGACAGTATTAATCTAGAAAGCTGTTATTACAAGTTAAGAGTTTTATAATAAAGAATTATGACCAGTCTTCTTCTAGTGGCATCATTAATAATAAGATGGGATGCTTCTAGCCAGCCTTCCCAGAAAGCCACTTACCAACCGGTTTCTTGTTTTCAAGTTACCATATTTTGAATTCATATCAGATATCAGTAAGGTATTCTGATATGAACTAGGGGGAGTCAGGTTCAGTACAGTAACTATTCAAAGCCATTAATCACTCGCAGTTTATAAGTTGCTTCAATACTTCTGTGACAGTGGACAACTTACAATATTTACCGTTTTCGTTTTCCATACTGCATCATGGTGTAATAATTTATACAAACTTCATCTTCAGATTCTTTTTGCTTGACATCATCGGTCATTAAATTAACAATTCTACGTTGGAAAATTGAATAATTCCTATTTTTAATATCCACTTGTATCTCCCCAGAGATGCTCCAGGAAATTGCACTGCTGACAAATACAGCGCTTAATGACTCATCACCAAAAAGATATTGAAAAAAACTTTCCTAGAATTTGATTATGCCTTCCATCTTTCAGTAATGGAGATAGATAATTGGCCAACAGGTGATAATTAATATAATATCAGCTTCTGAGTTGACCACGCAAGAGTGACAACTTTTCCACAGAATAAACAAAGACTTCCCCCATATATTTATTAGCCAGGAATCGTTCTGATCCTGCCGGACAAGAAAACTACCGCAAGTTCTTCATCACAATCCTTGTATTTCCAGTATGTATCCTTCTCAAAATGATGCTCACACATACACAACTGACGGGCATCCAGGGCCAGTCCCAGTTTCAGGAATTCCAAACCCCAGTCCAACACAACCCTATCCTCATCCTCAAGCTCCATATATCTCCTCCGGCGTGCGGGTTCGTGTACCGGGGAAATGGTCTACTGGTCTTTGCCATTGTTGCGATGATGTAGCCAATTGTAAGCTCATCAAAACTCAGTTCGATCAATAATAATTACTGGCTTTAATTAACCCCATTTTTTTTTTTTTTTGGTTCAGGTTTTGTCACTTGCTTTTGTCCTTGTATAACGTTTGGACAGATTGCCGAGATAGTGAGTAAAGGGTCATCCCGTAAGCGATCTGCAAACCAATTCCATTCTAATTACTTTCCTTTTAGACGATTTAAATGATTTTTATGGTGAATATATATATGCTGTCATCAATGGTGTTACAGCTTGTGCTGCGAGTGGTGCACTTTATGGACTATTGGCTATGACTGGATTTGCCTGCTTGTATTCATGCTCCTTTCGCTCAACTATGAGGGCTCAATACGACTTGGCAGAGTCACCCTGTGTGGATTGTTTAGTGCACTTCTTCTGTGAAGCTTGTGCACTGTGCCAAGAATACAGAGAACTCCAAGAACGCGGCTTTGACATGGGAATAGGTAAAAATACTCTTCATCTAATCACTCATAGCTCGTAATTTCATATTCCACTGGTTCTTGAACATATATATACAATATTAACCTCTCTCTATATTTATGGTTTTTGCTGCGAGTTACAACTTCATAAATACCTGACGCCTAGGATTCTTTTTAGTCCTGAGATATGTTCTTATAGTAGTTTTTGGCTGTACTTTGATAATCCTGAAGACCTCATGAACTGGTAGATCTTTTATTTGTACCATTTACAATCTGATGAACTTCAAAAGAAGTGACTAGCCTGCAGATTACTTTATAAACTTAGAACAATATTTGTCGTTAAGCAGTAAATTTTTCAACAGAAGAAATACTTTTCACTCTCATAGGTAGAAGACTCGTAAAAATTCCAAATATATATAAGACAAGGAAGTTATCGATCATATGGTTTTGCATTACAAAACAAAATCCATCTTTATATAATAACGTAGATTTGGTTTGGAAAAAATCTTAAAAATGGATCAGTACTTGACTACAATTGAAAGTCGTTGGGTTAGGTAGAGGACATGGTTTATAAACTTTATATAAGACCATGTTGAACTATTTTAAACTGGAGTAAACGACTTTTTCGCACCCAAGCTAGGTTTGCCTTAATGACACTTACTCACCACAAAAGTTTCAAAATATACTTTCTCACTCAAAATTAATTTTTCATTACTATCTAAAGTCGATTTCGGTGGCAAAAATTCACTCTGTCATCACTCATCACTATTTGAACTTCCGGTCTCTTCTCTAAAAAACTCTTTTCATTCTAATACTTGATTTCTCGCCGATTGCCAACCACAGCAAAGCTAAGGTTTTTTTCTTGTTCTTAGCTAATTTCTGGCTTATTTCGACGACGAGTATTCATTTAGTCACCACTATTCGATCCATCGACCTCCACTCAACAAAACTCCTCTTATCCTGACTCCTGATAACTTGTAAAACACCAGTTGAGAAAGTAAAGTGTATTTTGGGTATCAACATAATATCAACTTCAGGTGGGAAAGTGGTATTTTGAAACTTTTTGGGTGGAAAAGTGTCATTAAGGCAAACCTTGGGTGGGAAAAAATTCGTTTACTCTTTAAACTATTACGTTAATGTACAAGCATGCATGGACTGATTGATTGGCTCTTTTCTTCTTTGGGATGTTGGGAAATGAAGGATGGGAGTCCAACATGGACAGACAGAAACGAGGAATTACAGTTGCTCCAATGGTGGCATCAGCCATGAGAAGATGAAATCAATTCTCATGCATGCATGTGGAATTTTGGCTACTGCTGCTTCTGCTTCTGCTTGATCGATCGTGTGCTACTGCTAGTGTGATATTACTCGTGTAATCTCTTGTGTATGTTGTTGTATTGCTTCTTGTAGTTGTGGCTTTTGGAATATTATTGTTTGCTTGTTATATTTGCACAGAAGAACAAAAAAAAAGGTGGAAATCAAGGACTTTAGTTTAGTTTAATTCCCATCAAGATATAATTTGTATAGATCTGCGAGCTGATTTGAGAATAAATTTTGAAGAGAAGTTGAAGGTCAGTTTGATTCTTCTGCTACAACTGTGGACTTGCTCCTATATATAATAAACTACTAAATTTGCAATTAAATATATTTCATTAATCTTTCTTAATTAATATAGAGTAAACGACATATTCCCACCCAAGCTTTAGCCAAATCTCAAGTTGATATTTTTGTTTGTATCTATTCTAGATTCTCACCTTTAAACAAACACCATTAGTAACTATTGGAAGTGATTGGAAATGGTAAGTGGGGTTGGCAAGTAAAGGTATGGGTTTTGTAGATGAGGTTGTGGAGAGTCTAACGGTGGTCTTGGAAGTAATTTTGGACTTCGGAATCAAATAAAAAGGCCGAAAACCGTTGGCTTAAACGTTGCTAACGTTAGCCACTTTTTGCTAGCATGAACCCATTTTATGCCAAAGAAAGCTTTGGTGTACTTTAGTGTGCTAACATGCACCGTGCTATAGTGAAAATTTGAGAATTTGTTAAAATAAAGGAAACTGCGTTAACCCCAAGGGATTCACCTGATGGTCGAAGAGGCGTGTTCTTTTTTTTGACTTCCTAAGTTCAAACTTTAGGGTCACCTATCCAATGCATAATTATGCCTTACATGGTTCATTGGGTTTGTAGAATATTCAATGGATCTTGAAGATTAGTTAAAGTGCCCGTAAGCTGGCCCGAACACCTCGGTTACCAAAAAAAAAAAAAAAAAACTGCTTTACTTTAAGGGTAGGAATCTAGAATAAAAACAATCAGGGTGGGAATATGTCGTTTTCTCATTGACTATATTTTATATCATGGAAATAAAAGAAGTTAGGAGATACACTGTGCCTTAGTTAATATAAGTCCACTCATAAATCAAATACATTAAAAGATTAGGTAAAGCTATATTGAATTAATATATATTAAACCACCTTTGGGTGATCGGGTAGGATAATAAAGACTGTTGGGTGTATTACTCAAGAGGTCTTGAGTTTGATTCTCTTCGGTTAGGGATTAGTCACCTCCGACCACAAAAAAAAAAAAAAAAAAAGAATAATATATATTGACAATTATATATATACAGTAGAACTTCTCTATAGTGATACTCTATATAGGAATAATCTCCATATAGTTATTAAAAATTTTAGTCCCTACTTGAGCCAGTTATAAATAAGAATAAAATTCATATTGTAATAAGTTATAGTTTGTCTAGGTCCCGTCTTAAGAAACTTGCCTCTACATAGTAATAATTATATGTATATTATAAAAAAAAAAATATGTTATGTTAGATTAAATGTTTAAGATGAAATAAATTTTTTATCAAAAGTTGTTTGAAACAATGATTTATGCTTTAAAGTTGCTACCGTATCTTTTATCTTGTGGGTACGTAATAAGTTGACAACATGGACACCTTCTTGTTAAAACCAAAATATTTTTAACTACATGTTTATAGCTTTTTGGCACGAAACTTTTGATATTTCTTTACTATATTCATCTTCAAGATTATCTCTTTTCTCTTCTTGTCTAAGGGGGTGTTTGTCTGAGCTTATGAAAATTAACTTATAAACAATAAGTGCTTATAAGCTAAAATTAGCTTATAAGCATTTGAAATTTTAAGCAATTACGTGTTTGGTTAAAATACTTATAAGTGACTGATAAGTAGTTGACGTGTTTGGTAAAATGTGGCTTATAAGTACATTTTATTATAAAATGACTAAAAAAGATACTACATTACATAAGGGTATACTATGGAATTTTAAAATTAAACAAGGATAATGTGGTAATATACTTGATCAAACTAACTTATAAGCAGAGTGTTTATAAGCAAAAAAAAAAAAAAAAGTACCTCCCCCCTTAACTTATTTTTTTTTTTTTTTGCTTATAAGCTCAACTTGTAAGCTCAAAAAAAGTTATAAACAAACATGTCTGCTTAATTTTAGAGCTTATAAGCTAGTTTGACCAACTTATAAGTTTAGACAAACACCCTCTAAATCTAGTAATGATTTCTTCTTCAGTTAAAGTATACACGACTTGTTGCTCATTTGGATGATTAAGAAAAATATTAATATCTATTTTATTAGTGTAGTAAAGTTATCGAATCTGATCACTCAATTTTGTAATAACTCTTTGATATTCATTTCTATACTATCCTAATGCTATTAAAACAATAAATCAAAATCTTAATACCACTAAAACATGAATTAATAATTTTTTAATCAAAACAATAATTTTTTAATCAAAACAATAATTTTTGTAATTACACCTCTATTAAGTTATAACATTCTCATAATAATAAATTTAGTTGATCCAATATTATGACTATAAAGAGGTTTTACTGTATTAATCAATATTTGACATTCAAATATTATATTAAAAAAAATTACCACCTAATAATTATTCTTGAAATGTTACAAAATCCAAAATCTGATCCCTATACATCATTATTTGTTTGTTTTTTTCTAATTTTATATTTTTATCAAAGAGTAATGTAACAGTCACCGAAGTAGTGCACTGAATTCATGCATCGAATGACGTGACAAAATTCTGACTGTTGATTAATTTTAACTTAATATTAATCGACGGTCAGGATTTTACCATATTATTCGGTGTATAACCTTCGGTGGCTGTATCATTTCTGTTTATAAAAAAAAAAAATTCTCTTTTTTGTAAATATACGGCCAACCAAACAGAGCCTTATTGTGACTATTCGATCTGAACCCGGTCTGGTCCACTACAAGCGGCCCAATACGCTGTGAAAAGCCCAAAAACATAAGCGAAACCCATCCTCGTAAGTCTTATGGCCATTTTAGGGTTTTTTAAGGGTTTTTGGTTCGTTACTTAAAATTTTCACTGAAAACTCAGCGAGCAAATGGCGTCTCTCATGGCGATACGGAGCGCACGAAGCCAGAGGCTTTCTTCTATGTTGAAGGTACGCTATCAGTCTTTTAACTCGTCTTATCTAAACAATCTTCAGATCAACTTCGACAAAACCCTAACTCTGAAAATAGCAAAACCCTTAAGTACGTATGCTGCCCCAAATGAGTACCCACCACCACATTCACAGTCACCATTGCCTGATTCTAGGGTTTTTCAAAACCAGAGGAGTGGTGATAATAGTCAGTGGGCTACTACACAGGGCCAAAACCAGGGGAATTTTAGTAATAATCAGTTCAACCATCCCAACAGGGGATACCCTAATCAGGGACAGAGATATCCTAATCAAGGACAGGGATATCCTCAACAACAGCAGCAATATAATGCTAATCAGTATCCGTATCAAAACCCTAATAATCAGAACCATCAGCCACCCAAAAACCCAAATCAGTGGAACAGTCAAAGCTCTAGTCAGGTTAATATTTCGAGCCAGAATTATCAGCAACCCAGAAGCCCTAATCAGTGGAACAATCAACAAAATCAGGGTTACCAACAGACAAGAAACCCTAACCAGTGGGTCCCTCAGGGTCAACAGATTAACTCGAATCAGGCTCATGTTAGTAGTCAGGCGCCGGCTCCGGTTCCAGGTCCAGGTCCGGCTCCTTCAATTGCTGATTTGGCACGGTTATGTCGGGAAGGGAAGGTTAAAGACGCCATTGAGTTGATGGATAAAGGTGTTAAAGCTGATGCTGATTGTTTTTATGCTTTGTTTGAGTTGTGTGGAAATGCAAAGTCGTTTGAGAATGCGAAAAAGGTTCATGATTACTTCTTACAATCGACCTGTAGGGGGGATTTGGCCTTCAATAATAGGGTGATTGAAATGTATGGAAAGTGCGGGAGTATGACCGATGCCCGGAGGGTGTTTGATTACATGCCAGATATTAATATGGATTCGTGGAATTTGATGATAAATGGGTATGCGGATAATGGTTTAGGAGATGAGGGTTTGCAGTTGTTTGAGCAGATGAGGGAGTTGGGGTTGAAACCAAATGAGCAGACTTTTCTTGCTGTTTTCTCAGCTTGTGGTAGTGCAGATGCTATTGAAGAGGGTTTTATACATTTTGAGTCTATGAAGAATGAGTTTGGGATCAATCCAGGGATTGAACATTACATAGGGCTGATTGGTGTTTTTGGAAAATCTGGGCATCTGTATGAGGCTCAACAGTTCATCGAGGAGAAACTGCCTTTTGAACCCACGGCAGAGATTTGGGATGCTTTGAGAAATTATGCTCGAATGCATGGAGATATTGATTTAGAAGATCGAGCTGAGGAGTTAATGGTTTATCTTAATCCATCCAAGGCGATTACTAATAAGATCCCTACCCCACCACCTAAGAAGCGTACTGCGATTAGCATGCTTGATGGGAAGAATAGAATTTTGGAGTTCCGGAACCCAACTCTTTACAAGGATGATGAAAAATTAAAGGCATTGAGTCAAATGAAGGAAGCGGGTTATGTACCTGATACAAGATATGTACTTCATGACATTGATCAGGAGGCTAAAGAACAGGCTTTGCTCTACCACAGTGAACGATTGGCAATAGCATATGGTCTTATCAGTACTCCAGCTAGGACACCTCTTAGGATCATTAAGAATCTTCGTGTTTGCGGGGACTGTCATAATGCCATCAAGATCATGTCCAAGATTGTTGGGAGGGAATTGATTGTTAGGGACAATAAACGTTTCCATCATTTCAAAGATGGCAAGTGCTCTTGCGGAGATTATTGGTGAAGGTTGCTACTTCTACAATACATATCCACTCTGTTTACTGATTATCAAAGTTTAATATGTAAAGTGCTTAATTTGCCAAGCTATATGGCTTGCTGAGGAAAGAAGGTTGCTAGTTACTGGAAATGAACTATTCACTACTTTATAATATATGCTGTGCTTGCAAATGCTGAATTGATTAGGTTTTATGAAAATTCCAGTGTCGATTCACATGTCCTTCTTTGACTACCATCTATGCTGTATATGTTTTCCATTTGTTTTGTAGGATTGGAAGTCATGAATGGAACTTTTAGGACTCATAGTTTGTTTCCTTTTCATGGACTCCTGTTTGCATAGTGATGATAGCATTTTGTTGTGGCTCTAGGTGGAAGCTTTTTAAGAATTAATTGTAACCTGGAGTATTTAAATGCTAATATGCCACTAGTATAATTACATTGCTATAGCTACTGATTCTATGTTAGATGCTTAGCACAGGATCAACTTGTGTGTTTCCTGTAATTGTATTTCTGTCATCTGTGTTCAAATTTTCATATCATAGATCTATGTATCAGGTTGAATGGGTTTAACTGCCTTCAATTGTGAAAGTGAATTGCCGTCAACGAATATTGTTCATTTAAATTATGTATTGTCTATTTTCATAAACCATAGTTTAAATGAAGGTTAAGTTTTCACCTTGTAGACCCAATTGTCGTCAGTTAGACACTGGCTTGGTGAAACAGACACAGGTCTTGTGTTGCTTATTGTCTCACGGGTAACTGAGAGAAAATTATGCAAGTTTAAGCAGACTTATGTGAGTATTGCGCTATATGTTGCTTAGTTAAATTACTATAAAATCCCACCTTTTATTTTTTTTTTGTGTTTGCGGGTGTCTTATACACTCAAGAGTCCCAAGCAAATCGTCAAACTATCTAGAGGTAGTTAATCACCATTTTTAGGTCAATATACTTCGCGTGTATTTGATTCCCATTATGTTGTGCCCAAGTTCTCAGCAACAAATGGGAAAATGAGAAAGTGCGTCTTCAAGTGAAAAGAGGTTAAATTTAAATAACTTTATTATTTATTACAGCCACAGGACAGGAAGTTGAAGATTTGAGTGCCAAAAGAATATGCATCAGTTTACAGAATGCCCATCATTTATTGCTATTGCTTTACAATATTTTTTTGTAGCGGGGAATATATAACAGAAGTATTCTTAATCATGGCAGCAATTTCTTTTCTGGTAAAGAATCACAAACTAGAAAAGCTTGTCTAGCCATCGTTCGTGGTGCGAGTCATCATGGTCATGAACTCATCCATATTAACCATACCATCGCCATCAGTGTCTACTGCTCTCACCATTTTCCTGCAATCCTCCAGGCTGCAACTCTCTCCAAGTCTCCTTAAAATTTCCATGATTTCTTCTGCACTTATCTTCCCATCGTTGTTCATATCAAATGCCCGAAATGCACTCTGTATGTCCATTGTTCTAACCCCTCCTCCCTTGTGTATTTCCGTTAACTCTTTAAAGTCAATATAACCATCTTTATCCTGATCAACCGCCCGGAAGATTTTTGTAACTTCTGCAATCATGTTTTCCTGTCCTAGAGCTGTAAGAATCACCTCGTACTCCGACTGGGATATTTTCCCATCTTTGTTGGAATCAAATTTATCAAACACTTTCTTCATCTCATTTATGTTTGGCATGAATGTGGGTAACAAGCCAGAGTTTTTCCTGTCTCGAGAAGAAAATAGCCGAGATGGCTTCCGCAGAAACTTGTTCTTCGAAATCTTGAACCGGAACTCGAGTAAGCTCACGTTTGCCATGTTTTCTTGTGTTTTCGCAACGAGGGAAAAATTTGTGTCAAGAATGCGATAAGATGTAACACCTCTTTTGGATCGTAGAACGACAGAGATGGCAAGCATGCATTTATATGCTTTATAGCGTTAGGATAAAACGAATTGGAGGTTATCTTTTATTCCTCAGATAACAAGTTGAAAAGCAACCATTCTGGAAGGATTCTGAAGTAACAAATAGAATACATAATAAAGAACAAAGATGGTTGCAGAAAAGAACTTTTAAGTAAAGAATACATTCCTTGCTGAGGTTACAACCTATCGTAGATGTAAAAAATCTACGATTACGGAAATAGGGTCTGATCTTCTGAGATTGAGGCCACTGACAATCCGCTGGACTTGTACACTCGAAGAGATGAGCGTGAAGCTTATGAGAAACACTAGGGTGGTGTTTGCCGTAGACACTCTGACGCTAAAGTCAGTAAGTCTGAAAGAGACGATTTAATAAGAATTAAGGGAAAGAAGGATTACCGGGAGTTTTGTCAGAGACTAAGACTACAACGAAGGCGTCAGGTTCTCGAGAGCAAGAACTTAGGAGCAAATTGGTGGTTTTGAGTATTGAATATTGGATATTGAATGAATTATGAGAGGGCAGACCTCTGTTTATATAGTGAACCAAAGGGGTTGGAATCCTAGTAGGACACTAAGTTCTACTTTGGGAGATAATCCCTATCAGGAAAGAAATATATTTTTTGTCCTTATCAGATTGGGTTTACTAGTTTCAGTAAGATTCAAGATCTTAGCAGAAAAGAAAATAGAATGGGAATCTGATTTCCTATTGATGGACCGCTGTAGGCTAATGGGCCGAAACCCAGTTTTAGCTTGACTTGTAGGATAGCCCAACTTATAGAGTGGGCAGTTCACAAGGTGACTTTAAGCATAGACTTAACCGGGATTGGGCTAAGGCTTTGAGCCGTGACATGTTTATTTCATTATTGGGCCTTGTCAGGCCCAAGATGATTTTTTACTCATACAGTTAACCCTTCACTCTCTAAGTTAAATGGTATTTAGCTTAGAAAGTAGATTTAATCGAATGAGTGTAGACTGAGCAGATTAGTGCCAGTAGCTCGCCAGGTCGAATGGATCGTTATTTGGAATATGAAAGTTCGTTCGACCAACTTGAGTTGGGAGGAGTTTGCTCAAAACCTGAGTCGAGATGAGTGAATGCTCGACCAACCGAAGTTGGGAGAAATATTGATGTTCGCTTGACCAACCTAAGTTGGGAAGTGAATGTGAAGACTCTCTCGACCAACCTGGGTTGGGAGGAGATACTGCCTTATAATAGAAAACCTAGGCGTTAGGTCATATGGTCAAGTCGGCATGACCGACCTATAGTTGAACTCTCAAGACATTGGGCCTTGTGACCGAGTCAACGTGACCGACTTGTAGTTGGAACTCAAGGAATCAAGCCTTATGGCTGAGTCAGCGTGATCGACTTGTAGTTGAAATTTTCAAGACTTTAGTCCTTATGTGTTGAGTTGATGTAAATTGATTGAAGGTGAACATAGTAGATGACTTAAAACAACTCTATATGGTAATACCATGGTGTGTAGTTATCAATAATAAATTGAATAAGAGAAGTAATGGTGTGTATATGTAATAGTAGACCAAATCAAGAGTATGCTAAGTGGAGAAGTAATAAGTCAAATGGAGTAATATGGATGTGGTGCAGGTGTCAAGCAATAAACCGAATGGAGAGAGAATAAACAAAGGGAGAAATAATAAGCCAAACAAACTCATGGCTGAATGGAGAAGTGATTCATGGCGTGCATATATAATAAACCAAATAAATAATAAGTCAAGTATAGAAAGAAATACTATGTCTGGGATGCATGTGTTGAGCAATAAGCTGAATGGAGAAACAAAGAGCTAAATAGAGAGTAAAATGCATGGGACAATATTGAGTCGGCTCTGTTCTTTGGTTTGAGTGTGGATGTTGTATGGTCCACACCAGTTGGCTCGGCTCACGCTGTTGAGTGAGGTATATACCAAGTGGGAATGTTTCCCAAGGTTGGACTCGACTGGTTTGTAAAAACTAAGTCTTTGCAAATCGGTTGAGGGCGGCTTGCTCAGCTCTGCCCATGTTGCCGAGTGGGAGATGCACCTGCGACTGGAGCCATCCTCTTGGGGCTCAATTGAGCTAATCAGGTTTAATGGTTTTCTTTAAAAGATAGCAGCATGGGTGACACTTGTCTTCATTCATTTATTGGGGCAATCACTTTTTATAACTCTCATTTTTCAAGTTTGCTTTCTTTTTTCATTCTTCACTTTAGAGAGTTAAAAATTGGGCATCCCTTCTGGAGCAGTTTATTGGGGTAGAGCCGAGTGGAGGATGGTTAGCGATTAGCTTGTTTCAGAAGAGGGTGTTTTGATGGTTGAGTAGGTTTTTCTCGTTTCTAAAAGGGTTAAGAGTAATCTAGGACTTTCAAACCGCATAGGAAGTATCAGTCCTTGATTTTTCAACGGAGAAGGACACAACACAATCGGGCTCTTCACTCATCCTCACTCAACTCGGTTGGTTGACCCGAATGACTAGTGTCGTCTGAAGTAGGTGATACTTTGTTGAGAAATCTGTGGTTGAGCCAGATGGAACTTTATAAGGGTGACTTCTGAGTGGAGTCAAGTGGTGGAACACTGATTTGTGCAGATTGGTGTGAGATTGGTCAAGGCCAAGTGCTTTTCTCTTGGTGCTCTTGATCTGAGTCGAGAGAGGTTTCGCAGAGCTGTGTCGAGTAAGATTGTTAGCAAATCACCGAATGGCTTATGTATCAGCTTTGTGGCATCGAGATTGACTAATCCGAGCAGCGCGAGGTGAGTTTTTTGATTCAACAATTAGATGGAGATCATCGAGCTGTGCCGTATGACTCTTTGTGTGAATCCAAGGTGCATGGCATGATTGGATTTAAGATTTAATTACTGACGCCAAGCCATGTGTGGGATTCTTGCGCTAAACAAGCCCCAACCTTGGACTTGGCTGGGATAAGCAAGGCAATTGGTCCCCGTATAAGCCTTTGGAGATGACTGTCGGGCCGTGCCGACTGGAGTCATAGTTATCTGACTACTTTATTGGTTGAATCGCTTTTGGGTTGGCCGATTTGAGTGGGTAGTTGAAGAAGAGACTCGTTTATGGGGCCACTAAGGATGAATGGAAGAGACTGAACTCTTGAGGTGTTTGGAGAGATTGCAACTCACGTTTCAGAGGGTGGATTTCTATCCTTATTCCACCAGACTCCACTCGAACTCGTTGGCAGAGCTGAGTCAGTGGTTGGAGTCGAATTTGAAGATGAACAAGAACTCGCTCTGCACTAACTTAGAGCTGCAGAAACCGGTGGTGGTGCAATTGCAATGTTATCTAAGTCAGTAGTTAATGGAGGTACCAAAGGTAAGCTATTACTTGGAGCTGCAGTAGGAAGAGTCTGAGCAGAGGCCCTTATCAGGAATCAGATTTCACCAATGAGTAGAAACTATAACAAAAGATTGTGCAGGAAGCAGGAGAGAGCAAATTCAAGGTGCCGGTGCTAAAAGGTGGCAGCCACGAAGGGCGTTGTTCTGACAACTGAAGCTGATAAAGTTGGGAGCTCCTGTAGGGTGTGATGCAGACGACGATTGGTGAGACAGTGACGGCAAGGAGAGTTTACGGCAGGGAGATTGATTAGCCAACATCGGGATAGGAAGTGGTTGCCCTCGATTATGGACTTGGCTTTGCATGCTAGTTCTTTTGGTCCCGACTGTTTATTGCTATTAGCAGTGGTATTGGGTGGCTAAGAATTAGTAATAGGATTTTGAGTTTTTGACTCCATTGAAGGCATATTCAGAGATATTTTCTGCTAATAATCTGACTGGACTTGTCATAGCAGAACGTATCTTCTCCTTGAACTTTCCGGCAATTTTCTTGATTTCATTAAATCCCTCTTGACCGGAAAAGGAAGGTGCCTCTTTAGTGTATCCACAATCTTGTTTACAGGTCTTTGTTGTAAATCAGGTTGCAAGTAGTTTTCCCAATCACCAATGTTCAGCTCAACCGAGTGGCTTTTCTTTGTATTCAAAGTTTGATTGTAAAGTGACTCAACCTTGTGAGACTTCAACAAGCCGAGTGATAGCAAAGGCTTGCTTCAACTCTGTTTGGCCGACTACACCAGGTGGTCCTCTTGCTAAGAGACAGAGCTGAATGGATTAAGATTTAAGTGGGCAATCACTAACTTGGCCGAGTGAAGGTGAAATAAGACAACACCGATTGGGCCGAATTGAGTGGACTCTCTGACCTTTTGTGGATCGAGTGAGCTCTCCTTTCTACTGTGGATTCACCCTGGGACTTCCTTATTAGACTACGTTTGAGCTGACACTTTCACAACTGTTAGCGCTATGCAGAGCCGAGTGGAGTGGAGCTTAAATTAGGACTTTCAGTACCTTGACCGAGTCGTGTTGGATTGAACTTTTGTAGGCGTCAGTCCGAACCGAGTAAAGATCCACGTACAGGGGTCAGTTTGACCGAGTGAGAGTAGATGTCTGGTTTGTTAGTGGGGTTTTGAAGCTGCAAGTTTGAACCAAGTCCAAAGTCTCTTAAGGCCATGCGATAGTTGGTGATTGGTGTTTGAAATTGTATTGAGCCAAACGAAGATGTCGGGAGCCAATGAATATGAGGATGCTCCGACTTATGTAGTGAATCCATGAGGGAGCCGACTATAGACTATAGTGGAGAGTCGAGCGATGTACCTTCCAAGGATGAGTTGAGTGGAGAGTCTGGTGCGAGGAATCATAATGCAGGGGCCACTCTACCCATGTGGATGAGTGGGACTGAATGGTGCTCGATGTATGAAGGGGAGTCCACTCGACCCTTGAGGATGAACTGAGCCGAGTGGAGCTTGATGGTAGGATGTCTCATTCATACTCGGATGGATGGAAAGGCTGAGGGTGGTGGATGTTTATGGTTTCATGGGCCCCACGGTGGGTGTCAAACTGTAGATGTACAGTTACAAAAATAGAGTCTGATCCTATGAGGTTGAGACCACTAAATTTTGACAGAT